TGAGACTTACATTCTTCCCACTGTCTCCAAATGCATAAGATTCCTGATCCTGGTGCAATTCTCTGTAAGTGGGGAAGTAACCACTTTCCTTGTGCCTTCCAGCTGGCAGCCTGCCAACTGCCATTCCATACACCATGGTTTCTTCTCTGCAGCATGAAGCACCTCTATATTGCCTAATCTTATTTTCTTCTCCTAAGTTCCCTTTTATTCTCATGTATCCTGCCCTCACTTTGGTTCCTCTCCACACTATTGCCCTCCAGATTTTAGACACTATGTCCTGGAAGACCTGAGCTCCTGGCACTCACTGTGTCACCATCAAAATTTCCATAAAGTATATACACCATGGGTCTTTTAAAACAGTGGCAGAACTTTTCTTATTCCACCATTAAATCAGAATTCTCTTCAGAACACTGTGTGGCACTCTGGTCTAGAGCCTAAGCATGTGGTACCCTCCCTACCCTCCTCCAGTGTGGACAGGTGGCTGTGGCAGCACACTGACACATGTTGGGTCTTGATCCATTTTGCCAACATGTTTCTTTTGACTGATGAATTGAGACCATTTACTTTGGTGGTTATGACTGATATGTATTGACTTACTGCTGTCATATAATTTTCCTGTTGTTGGTTCCCTTTCTTTCCCCTCTGTTTGATGGCTTGCCTTGCCTGGTAAATTCTCTATATTGGTATTCATGGAATTGTCTTCATTATTTCTTTCTAGAATATCCTTCAGAGCACTTTGGAGTGCTGGTTTTGTGGTCCTGAGTATCTTAAGGTATTCTCTATCATGACAGTATCTTACTTCTCCATCAATTTTGAAGGAATGTTTTGTGCGATACAACAATCTTGGTTGGAGGTTTTCTTCTTTTAGGATATTAAATACTTCATTCCAAGCTCTCCTTAAGGGTCTGTGTTGAGAAGTCTGCTGTGATTCTGATGGTCTATTTCTTATAGCTGATTTATTTCTTTTCACTAACAGTTTTTAGTATTCTGTTCTTGTGCTGAATTTCTGGAATCTTTACCATTATATGCCTTTGTGCAGATTTTTTTGGTCATGGCTAATCTGGGTTCTATATGCCTCAGTTACTGTATGTCAAATTCCTTTTTCTATGCTTGGGAACATTTCTGCCATTACTTCTGTGAACAGGTTTTTTATATCATTTGTGTTTTCTCCTGCTTTTTAAATTTTCTGTTTACCATGTGTATGATGTTAGAATTGCTATCCATGTTCGTTTTCAGGTTCCTGGTGCATGAAATGTTTTCCATCCTTTAATTTTTAGTCTATGAATATCTTTTTGAGTTTCTTGAATGGAAAAGATTACTGGATTAGTTTTGATCCGGTGTGCCAGTCTGTATCTTTTGATTCAAGAGTTGAGTCCATCAACATTGAGAGATATTACTGAGATGTGTTGGATACTCTTATTGCCTCCCTTATCTGTTGGTGTATTGTTTGTTTTACTTTTCCCAATGTTTTTTGTTGCTGTTTATCCAATGACCTCACAAGTTTTCTCTGGGATTTTAGCTGTGTCCAATTCATTGCTTTCTCAATACTCTTATGCATTTCCTCTACAGCTGGTTTAGCACACATGTATTTTCTGAGCTGATCGTTTTTCATGGAAGTATCTTATTTCTCCATCTGTTTTGATGGATAGCTTTGCTGAGTATGTTAATCTGGGTTGGACGTTATTTGCTCTTAGGTATTGAAATATTTCACCCCAAGCATTTCTGGCCTTCAGGGTTTGTGCTGAGAAGTGTGCCATGATTTTATTTTGTTTATCTTTGTAGGTGATTTTTTGTTTTTCTCTGACTGCCCTTAAAATTCTGTTCTTTTTCTAGATATATGTGAATTTAATAAGGATATGCCTTGGTGAACTCCTTTGCCTGAAACTGCTCTTTTAGTTGTCATCTAGTAGCTACTGGATAGTCTTCTCATGTTCTCTGATTCTCTTTTTGATTTCCTTGAAGTCTGTATTATAGTTCAGTATTTTGTCCTCAATATCAGAGACTATTGTCTTCACATTGGTCATTTGTGCAATATATGAATTCAATACTATTTTTATTGCAATTACTTATCTGACATCTTTTTGAGGATTCCATGTCCTTGTTGATTATGTCCTTCAAATTTAGAACTGCTTTGAGTAGCTTCGCCAGGTTTTCACCTGTTTCACTAAAATTTACCATGGCTATATTGAGTATAATTGCTGTGAACTTTTGATACATTTCCCATTTGAACTCATCTATTTTCTTTATCCCTTCTAACAACTTTTTTTTTTTAGTTTTTTTGAGACAAGGTCTTGATATGCAGCTCAGGCTGGCCTTGAGCTCACTTTGTAGCCTAGGCTGGTCTCGAACTTGAAAAGATCCTCCTGCCTCAGCCTCCCGAGTGCTGGGATTACAGGCATGTGCCACCACGCCCTGCTGTTCTTCTAACAACTTTTTACAGATTTCTGCTGTTATTTGTTATCCTCCCCCTTTGTAACTATTTGCTTTCTCTTGGGAGAGTTAGGAGGGTCTTGGAGATCTTCTCTTTCCTTGTTTCCAAATTCTCCTATTTGTATCTATATCTATATTTATATCTATATCTATCTTTTAAAATTATATATGGCCCCGTTTTCTCCTCCCCTTATTTTGAGGAGGTTACTGCAGGTTGGAGACTAAAGACATGATGAGTGTTTGCTGTTCATCTGGAGATTTTTAGTATGATATTGCCTCTCCATGAATAAATTTCAACTTTGTGTATTTAGTGCTAGTATTTACTCCTGTTATTCACTTTAAGTGAGAGTGAGTCTGTCCCTATGTTTTGTGAAAATAATTGCTCCTATTTATAATAGCATCCACAGATTCAATCTTACAGCACTTCTATATGATAGTCTTTTCAGTTATTCTTCCCTCCTTTATCTAGCTCTTTGCACACTGACAATTTATTATTTGTGGTTGCTCTGCAGTAAGGTAGGTGAGTTGGAGCTGGGAGAATGCGAGGTGGAATAATGAGTAGTGTTAGGCACTAAGAGGGAGGATTGAAGGAGAGGATAGTAATAGATGAGAAGAAAAAATTGATAAGGTTTCCAACTATTTTGGAGTACTTTTAGTTGAGTTGAATGTTTAGTATTGTGGGTTTTCAGATGACATTTTGTATGGGCAAGGATAAGATATGGGAGAAAGGGGGTTCACTTTTTGGTTAAGAAAAGGTATGTGGTTACCAGAAGTTGCTGATAGGAAGGACAGTAGAACAGGTAACATGTGGAAAAGCCACAAGCTTAGGTTGGGAAGGATCAAGGATTACACTAGCACAGACAGGAGTGACTGTGAGTGATCTAAGTATGATGAATTTAAGAACTTGGGAAGAGAAGTTTCCATGTTTGGAAAAAAGAATATAGGAATATGCAAATAATATTGTTTCAGGGCTTGAGCAGAGGAAACTATATAAAGAGTTGAGAGAAGGCTAACACCTAGACATCTTTTAAATCATACCCAACGGACAAATAAACATGACTAGCAACCTAATAAACACATAAAATCATAAAAGAACATAACATAGCAGCATGTTACTAAATAAAACACAAAAACTTAAACCAATCAGATGTCTGATTGAAACACAGATTAGATACTCCAGACTCAGGACCTCTTTCTGCTAGGTTGCATGCATTCTTACAGTCTAATCAAGTCTTGAGTTCTTGGGTTGGGGACTCTTGCTGTCCCTCTCCTTGGATGTGATGGTGGGTTTGGCAGGCAAGTTCACTGGCATTCAATTGTCTACTAAGTCAGGATTATTCCAATGAAATCAACTGATCTACAGCAGTAACAGTTTAGTCCACCGCAGTGGAATCTATCAGGGCTAGTTGAGAAGCAACACACCATAAGACCCCTGTTTTGGGTCTCCCTTTAGCCCAGAGAAGATATCCATAGCTATCATGTAAGCACTATAACCCAAGTCTTGACTCACAGTTAATGTGTTGTAAATGTGATGGCTGTGTCTCTCCTCCTGGTGAACAACAGCATTGAACAGTAGTTTTATAGAATCAGTTACCTAAAGATCAGGAGGTTGGGGGACTGTGTAATCCCAGAGGAGAGAAGAAAAAAAAGGAAAAAAAAAAAAAGTCCTCTGCTCTGTGGTATGAGAAGGAAATAGGAATGGATCAAAAAGTCCTACTGATGTGAAGGGTATGTGTTTATATATTTAAAAAGGTACAACAGAGCAAACTGTACAAACTCGGTAGTGGGAAATGGGAATGGGATAAGATTCTATAATTGGTATGAATATTACAGAAAAAATTTAAGGGAGTCAACTGTAAAGGTAGAAGGGAGAGAAAAGTAAAACTGACAATGAAAAAAACACAGGAGAAAGAGGTCAAGTGAAGAGATATGGGTAAAAGCAGGAAAGGATATAAGTGAACAGGGGAGAATTCCCTTACCCTCTATTAACTAATGGGAGAAAAAAAAAGTAACAGTAGGCAAAGAACACATACACAGATATTCTCACAAAAGAAAAAAAGTGTAAAATAATGGAATAAATATGTGGGGGAAAATGAATAGAAGGAAAATATCGAAGAGTAAAAACATAAAGAAATAAAATTAAAATAATACAATCAAAGAATACTAAAAGAAAATTTTCTATTGTTTTGGACACGTGGCTTTTTTCCTCAGATGAGTTATGAAGCAGAACTCAGGGCAGGTGTCTTTGTTCATACTAGAAGTTTAAGGTGGCAGTCTGAGCCCAGAACTCTGCTGAGTATAGAGATCTGCTTGCAGTGGGAACAAGGTGCTAACGTGAGCTTACAGCCCTGGTATTTCAGGTGGTACTGGCTTCTGACAGTAGGATACAAGTCTGTGATCACCAGTCCCTGCCTCAATGGACTCCCGCCAGTCTACCTTCCACCTGCTGGCAGTCTCCTGTGACATCCTTCCCTTACCCACTCCGGGAACTTCGCTGTGTGAAGCAACTGTGGAACTGTTCTGGGACTTAGGCTCAAACACCCAGCCCTTTCCTATAATGGCAAACCTACCAGCTTCTGCTCCATGGGACTGTGTCCTTGGGTGCTTGTTCCATAGTCATTCACCAGCTGTTGACTCTGGAGAGCCTCTCAAGAAGCAGTGTCTCCCATTCTTTCTGCTGTCTCCAACTGCGTAAGTTCCCCCTGATCTTGGTGCAGGTCTCTGTTTTTCTGTGGGCAGAAAAGTTACTATTTTCACTTTGGCTCCCAGCTGGCAGTTACTGAGCCAGTGTTCTCAATGCCACCTGGTCTCCCTTCTACAGCAGTGGTCTATTTCTTCTGTATCACTTAATTTTATTTTTTTTCCTCTGTCAGTTCCCTCGTGGTTGCTGTGTACCCAACACTCACGTCAGTTCTCTCCAAGCTTTTGTTTCCCAGACTCTAGATACTTTGTCCTGGAGAAATTGGTTGCTGGCAGTCACTGCTCTGCCATTTCCCTCTCCCCATCTGAAATAGTAAAAATCTTAGGCTTGGAAGTCATGCAGATTGATTTGTATCATATTTCCAGAATCCAAGCTTCCTTCTCTATGCTACCTGGCCCACAACACTAGCTGTGTTATTCAATAAGCTTTCAATATATGATGTAAAGAAACAAGTGCTAAAATAAGGGGTTAGAGGTGTTGCTCAGTGGTAAACTGCTTCTGTGGCATGCATGAAGCCCTGAGTTTGGTTCCAGGCACATGGGAAAGAGAAGGAAAGGGGATTGCTAAAATAATAAAATAAGGATAAATAAAATAATGGGAAGCACTAGATGCAGGAATTGCTTCCTGTCAAGGGGCAAGGTTTAAGAATGACAGTATCAGAAAGATTTTACACAGACTGTGCCATTTTATCTGAGCCTAAAAGAGGAATATGTTTCTCCTTGGCAGAAAAATAAATTGTAATAATACTGCAAATTGTGTGGGGAGCATAAAAAAGGCAAAGAAATAGTAAACACCCCATATATTTGGGAAATGGACAGTCTGGTATGGCTTGGGTGCAGGCAGTGAAGCAAGGCCTATAATAAGATGAGGCAGCTGAGAGTAAATGTCTGCTTAAAATTATTATGTCATTATAGTATTGGCCTTGACTTAGAAGACTATGTTGGAAGGAGATGGAAAGACAGAACTGTATGGAAGGGCACAAGGCCTTGCAAATCTTGACAGGGAATCTGGTTATACTTTATAGATGAGATACCAATGAAGGCTGCTCTCTGAAATTGAGAGCAGAGTCAAGGGTCAGTGGGTGATAACAGTCCACATGCTGTTGGAAGATACCTTTCTTTCATGAGTAGCAAGAAGACAAATCCTCTCTAATTTTACCCTCAGGCAGCAACATTTTATATCAGATGACATCTGAACTGGCCCTGATGTATTTATTACACTTATAATATTTATCCAAAAAGGGGGAAGAAAGGCCTTGGTGAGTGATGAGATTTTTATTTTGAACATATCCTAGGAAAAATTAAGCGACCCTTTCCCTACAAGTCCTACATGAGGAGTAATTAGAACACAATTATCTTTTTACTTGCACACATATGCACGCATAGACACATACGTGCGTGCGTGAACACACACAAACACTACTCATACTGTTTGTTTTTTGGGTTTTTTTTTTTACTGAGACTGAATAATTCTAGAGGCATGAACTGGGTAAATATCTGCTTCAAAGTATATACGAAACTTAGAACTATCTGACCAGGCCACAGTTTGAAGTTTCCCAAATACAAATCCAGTACTCACATACAACAGAAACTTCATGGTGAAAGTATGATGACAAGGATAGATAGATAGGTAGGTAGGTAGACAGACAGACAGATAGATGACAGACAGACAATAGAAAGACAGACTTTAAAAACATCTAAATTGTAAGTACACAGCACAAAGACATAATACTGCTTCTTTATACACAATACTTTGGTAGGCTCTGTGTCCTTCATTTTAACTTGATGTATGGTACATAGGATCAGAGGTAGACGTTACATGTATTAATTTGGAGATGGTTGTTAAAACTACAATGACACCACTGCTCTGACATCAATTCTTTGACACCAATTACCCATAGTTAGTATCAGACTCTACAGATTTAAGGCACCATTATCAAAATTACTGCTCTCAGATTTAAAAACATTTCGTAGGCCGTCACCCATACTTCTGATTTACCAGTATAAGGGTTCCCACATCATCAGGGCTCATAATTCACTAGCACAAATCAAAGAATTCAGGAAAGCTATTATGCTTAGTTTATGGTTTTATTATAAAGGTATATGTAGGACATAGTGTGGAAGGGTCCTAGCCCCAGTTTCCATGCTTTCTACCTGTAGAGTTAGAGCACACCACTTTCCCTGGACAACTGTGTGTGTACCAATCAGAAAGTTCCACTTAGCTTTCAGGTTCAGAGTTTTTATGAGAGACTTCATTACTTAGCTATGATTTATTAAGTCATTGGCTATGTGACTGAACTCAATACTCAGTCCCACTATCCCCCTTGGAGGTTGGGCTGGCCCAAAGTTCCAACCTTCTAATCACACGATCTTTTCTTCTGATAACCAGCTCACATCCAGAAGTTACCTAGGAGTCTAGCATAAGTCATTTCATTAGCATGGGAAAGAAACTCCTATCACTCAAGGATATTTCAAAGATTTTTGAAGTTCCGTGTCATGTACCAGGAAGATTGGATATTTTCTTTATTATGTTACACCATGCTTGAGATCTTCTCTTTTTGTCAAACTTTAGAAGACAGACAAGAGACAACAGAACTTGAATGAAAAACCCAGAAAGTGAACATTGGTCCTGATGCTTATAATACCAGAACTTTGGAGTAGAGGGCAGAAAATACCAAAGAAATGCTTGAAGAGATAGAAATATTGATTACCTACCATAATTTTTATATATACATATATATACATATATATATATATATATATTTACCACTGTGTGTCATAAATATGTAGAACTATCATGTATCAAAAAATAAAAATAAAATAGCAAAAGAGGCAGAGATCATTGTTCCCAGCTCCTGCCATAGGGCTCCTAAAACTCGTACTTCCTTAGTAATAGGTATACTAGGAACATCCTTTGTCATACTACCTGGTTTTAGTTTCCTGGTTTCCAACACAAGAACTTCTAAGGACTTTGGGCCTTTGGAATCTCTGCAGTGAAAAGATCTGTATGCTAATGTAATGCCTGGTGACTGGGTCCCCTAGGTAGCTTCAAGATCAGTCCGGTCATCAGAAAGACCAAGGCATGATTAGAGGGTTTGGAGTCTTTGTGCCACCCCATGTCCTTCAGGGACAGGAGAGAAGCAGCAGATTAAGTCAATCACCAATGGCCAATGATTTAATCAATCATACTTACGTAATGAAAATTCTATAAAAAACCCTAAGTGATGGAGTGGGAAAGATTCTGGGTTGATGAATGTACTCATTTGCTCAGAAGGTAGACCATCCCAACTCCACAGACAGCAGGTCCTACAGTTGGAACTATTGCAGACCTTGCCCTATGTAGGACCATCTGCTTTCACCTACACCATTTATCTTTTATAATGACCAGTAATAGTATGTAAAGTGTTTACCTAATTACTATCAGCCTTTGGAACAATTATTGAAGCTTAGGAGGGTTGCTGGAAGTCTAGATTAGTAACCAAGTCAGAAGTGTAAGTGACCTAAAGATTCACTACTTCTGATCATTATCTACAGTGAGTGATAAACCTGTGGGACTGAATCCCTAATGTGCTGCGTCTGCCCTATGGGTAGTGGTTTTGCCTGGTTGGGAGAGTTAGAGTCTCCTTGTGGAGGTGTTTTCTAGGTTCTTTCTGTCCTGAGCACAGAAGTGATCAAGATGCCCACAAATGGTAGTTAAGTGTTACTAAATATAAGAAGAGAAACAGGTTCTGCAGAGTTTGGGCCAAGTAAAAGTAGGAAAGAAGTACACCCTACACTGTGAGAGTGAGCTACCATGCAAGAGTGAACACAGTGCCAAAAACTTCATGTGGACTGTCCTTTTTGTATTACCCAGTCTTCAGGCTCCTCGGGTGTAGGCCATCCTACCAAAAACCCACTCAAGTTTTCATAAGAAGTTCATGTGCAGGGCTTTGGGAACTGTTCGGTGCAAGTGTTCTAGGATCTTGTCATTCCTCTTTCTCAGCGAGTTTTAGCCTTACTGTCCCAGTGTCAGAATTGAAATCAATATAAGACACCTAGCTGATGCCCTCTGAGAATTACTTGGTACAAACTCCCCACATGCTCTGTGTCAGAAGTGCTGTGAATAAAAGTTCTCTTCTACTTGTTACTTGGGATGCCTGGGAGGGCTCAGAAAGAGCACAAAAATCTATGAAGAAGCTGCTAAGATGGGACCAAAGGAAGAGAAGTGGGGTGAGAGCGAAACATAAGGGCATATAGGGGTATGCAGAGGGGAATCTGTAAGGTTATCCATGAAGCACTTTCTGTAAGTGGGCACAGAAAGACCCTCCTATCTGGCACACAACAGCAGGAGCAGGTAGCTTCACATGATTCAGCAACTCTGTGTTCCTAAATGGGAGGGAGCTGCTGCAAGGCACTGACATCCAAGAACCCTCTTAAGGCTTGAGAAGGTTGTAATATGGCAACGAAAAATCCTACATAAAAATCCCAAAGCATCTAGGTTCTCTCCTCTTGCGTGTCTCCTCTTCCCTTCCCTACATCTGCACAAGTTGAGGTTAACTAGCTGCATAGTTAGCCAGCAGAAACACTAGAGCATGAGTTCCCCTCTCATCCCACCATCCTTCCCTCAGATTTGAGCCAGTCTCAGCCATCTCTACCGCCTGCACACTCTCATTAAGGAAGACAAACAATAGAGACTGCCTATAGGATGGGAGAGTGGTTACCATCTCTACCCCCGCCATTCCAGATCCAGAGCCATAGGAGTTCACAATGTGTCACTTCACCATTTCCCCACTCTGGGGTCCTGATGCCTACACCATTCATATCCTCTCCCCAACACACAGAACCACAGAGGTAAATGGGAAGCTTAGCGATAAAAGCTGAGGCTGTTTATATGGCAAGAGGAAGTGTGAATGCCCAAGGCACTTTAAGCACCAGCATCTAATCTCAGCGGCCATGTCCTAGGGATGGCATTTCCCAGCCTCATACCCACCTCCTTCCATAGCAACCGTTGATTCTCTGCACGAATGTTTCCCTCAGGATAGCTGCCCAGTTCTCAAGCTCCTGGACAAAAGATAGACCTGGCTAAGACAACTGCAATTGCCTGAGGTGGTTTTCTTTACTAAAGAACGCTGAAATTCTGGTCACCTAAAAAATCAGTTTTCAAGCTAATGTAGCATGTAGGGATACCTACTCACCTGAACATCCTGCCACTCTATCCACCTGTCTCAATTGTCAGGTATGTCTGTCCTGTCCCTTCTCCATACAGGTAAATACACCTTTCTGCAGCCCAAGCGAGTGCCTAGTCACATCACCCACCATCAGTTTCAGTCTCATACGATGGCAGAGTGATCTAGGCTGTACCAGCTGCCCTGCAGGTTGGACTGCAGAATCTTCACACACATGATCTGCTGTGAAAAATATCAATAAGCAAAACAGTCAAATTAAATTTCCTCCACCAGGATGCCCACTGTTAACACTGGTGATTTGTAAAGGGAATCTAAACGTCCACTTTGCCCTACTTCATTTAACCTTCATATAGTAGACTCAGGTAGAAAAAACTCACATTGCACCATCAGGAAAATGACACAGTATTTGAGGGAAGTCAACACAGATTACTGGGTATTTTAGGGCACTGCTGGGCTCACTTTCTACTAATTTATTTTCCATCCAGGTAGTGGCTGATTTTAACTTGTAATCTGTAAATTATTTGTCCATTTAGTGTTTATACAACACTAAATGTTAAAATATATTGCCCTGTGAGACATTCCAGTTTGATATTTAACTCAGCAAGATTATTCTAACATTTAATTGCCTAAGTGTGAAATTTGACATATATTATACATTCATATTTTGTATGTTGTATAGACACCTATCTCCAATTCTTTTCTTGATGTTAGTTGTTCATTGTGTTGGTAATCTTTAATGTTCACTTATAATTTACATGAGTCATAATTGTATCATTTTAAAAACTTACAGCATCCTCAGACAAAAAAAGACATAACATTGTTCTCAGGTCTAAAAATATTTGTATTTCTCACAAGTTTGGAATTCCTCTTTAATTTTATCCCTGACTTCTGAAATTCTCCTGGGTGTATGGTATTTTTTTAATTGTGATAAAATACATTCAGCATAAACTTACCATTTTGTACAATTCAGTGACATTAAGTACATTTTCAGTGTTGTACAACTATTATCCCTGTCTAGTTCCAGAACTTTGCCATCTAAAAAGGAAATGTTATGATTATTTGAATGTAATAATCATGTGAAAAAGTTGCCATTATAGTATCATCAACAGACTAGCAGAAACTTGTTAATGTTTTTCTTTAAATCATTCCATTTAAAGCTAATTTTTTCTGAAATCTCACCCATTTACAAATTTTCTAAATGACTTCATCTCAAAATTCTTTTTTACAACACTTTAATTTATTCATTTATATAACTGTAGCCCTTCCAGTATGCCCACCCAGAACTTGAGACACCAGAGGTATGCACATTAAATATTTATTTCCTCAATGTCCATCTCAGAAAAATTTTAGTACTATATGTAAATTTAATTCTGCACTGCAGAATATATTAAATTATTTAGAAAGACATTGAAGCTGCATAGAAATTGTAGTTAAACACATTTTAAAAATAGGGTCTAATTGTTCGTAGATGCCATATTTTTCTGTTTCACTAAATGTAATACTGCCCATGTCATTTCATGTCAATACATCAACCTATACATGATTATTTCAATGGATGCATGGTATTTCCATAACTAGGATCATAAGGGAAATCCTATCGAGTCCATTTAATGGGAGTTTTTCTTTAACCCTCTAGGTGGCACTGATGCAACACCTGTACTTTGAATGGTAAAATATGCAGAACTGGCTTGCTTAGTTCCCTTAAATGGACTTCATTCTGACTTTCCAAATGTATCACTCACTAAACTCCGACCTACTTCAAGCATACTGGGTATATTTATGCTACTGTAATATACTTTCTAATTACACACTTTTCTTCATACCACCATGGCCCACTTTCAAGCAAGACTTGTCCTTTCCTATCCTTTGGTAACCAATTTAAGTGGATGCCTCTTCTCTGAAGCATTCCTATAGTACTACAGTTCACAGCAATCACTCCTTTAAAATCTAAGAATGGGATTTTCTAATGAGCATATATACTCATCACACCAATTACTTGTGGCTATAAGTGTGCACAATGTATCTACACCTCATTTTTAAAGTGAAGAAGGGTCATTTATGCCTATTTTAGCATCAAACTTTATTGAAAACACAGACTCAAGTAGAGAACCACATATTTAAACAGTGAATGGCAGGGTAGCTTACTCAGATGACTCAGTTCACTGGAAGGTCAACACCAAAAAATTTCACAATCTGCACAGCAAGACAAATATCAACAAATACGTTTTCAGTTCTAATATTCATTTGGCATCCACAAAATGATCCAGCTTAAAACAAGAGGTCAACAAGTTAACAGCAGCATTAAAAATATAAGTTACAACATAAAACCAGACTGTGAACACTAAAGCACTATTCACGGCTCTTTGGGAACATAAGGCTGATCAGCAGCAGGTGGTTAACCACATTAACTCTGTTGTCCCACCTCAGGATCATTCTGATTGTCTATTTGGACTTGCAGTTGCTTAGCCAACTCCTCAAATTCATGGAATGCAGAAATAAGTGGCTCAAGACTGAAATCATCATCAATGAAGGCCAATGCCCCACTTCTTATAATATTACTGATATTCTGAAACATTTTAATAACAATCTGAATGTTAGCATTTGTCTCTTCTATGTTAAAAAGACCCACGAATACTGACAGAGCTTTGGCACTGAATAGTTTTTTGGCCACCTTAAGATTTTCAGACAAGTTCAACATCATTTTCAGAATATGAAACTTTGTTCTTGCATTGCCTGTGGTTAACAGGGAAAGAAACCCAGACATATAATTGGCAATCAGTGTGTGATAGTCAGTAGTCATAGTGAGGTGTCTAAGCATCATTATTCCAGTCAGCTGCTCAAGGGAATCCACACCATGAGAGAGGGTTTCCTCACACACTTGGCATATGAATGTCTCAATCATATTTAGATTTGGATATGGTGGAGCCATGTGAACCATGTTTTCCAAGAAACTTGTCCTAACACGGGAGGACGGATAATTCAGCAACGTTTCAATGAGAGAGACAATGCCTGAATCCCGAATGAAATCTCGGGTAAATTGAGAAGCACTTCTCATACCCATTGCAATTTTAGAGATTTCTTGAATAAAAGGGTCCTGAATTCTGTCCATTAATAGAAGGAGTTCTTCAAAATCTCCAGCCCCAATTTTAAGTTCACACTGTATGCAGCTACAAGCCCAATTCTCAGGGTCTGCACTCTCCTTGATCTTAAGATGTTCACGAATTTCTTGGACTGACCGGTAGGAAGGATCATATTGAAATGGGAACACAGATTCAAGCTGATCAGGTTCAAACAAAAAATCTTCCTCGTCCCCTTCTGAGCTAAGTTCTAGGTTCTTAGGCTTTGTTTCAACTGCTTCATAAGACCCTTCAGGAATTCTAAAAGAGGTTAAGGGTGGGAAGCCAAACACACGACAAGGACGTTTGAATCGAACAGTGACCTCATCCCAGGATTGGGGCCTGGATGATACCTTAGGTTCTTCCTCCACTGAATCTCCAAACCTGCATTTGACCCTGTATACAGGACTAGGATTCAGGTCAAAGCAGGCCTCATCTCTATCCCAGAACCAGGATCCAAATATGGCCTCTTCTTCAGACTCAGGTCTGGCCTCTTCTTTGGCCAGAGCCCCCAAACTGGACTTTTCTTCAGTCCAGAACAATGATCCACCAATGGCCCCCTCCTCAGCCCCTGACTCAGAGTCACAAATTGCTGAAGCTCCAGCCTCCAAATTGGCCTCTTTTTCTGCCCAGAACCAGGACCCAATAATGACTTCTTCCTCATACCTGGGCTCTTGTTCAGTTCTATCACTGTTTTTAACATCATTCTGGGCCCTGGGTTTCAAGATGTCATTAGGCTCTTCTTTTTCTCTGGGCCTGAATCTACTATTGGCCTCTTCTCCAGGTAAAAACCAAGACTCCTTATACAACTCATCTTCAGACTCAGATTCAAAACAGTCCTCTCTCTTTGTTCTGAGTTTGGACCTGGTATTTGTCTCTTCTCTCACTCTGGACCTGAACAAGTTATTGGTATTCTCCCCAGCCCAAAAGCAGAATGGGTTGCTAGCCTCATCCTCAGACCCAGACCAAGAATCAAAATAGGTCTCTTGCTTGGATCTGGGCCTGGACCTGGGGTTAGTCTGATGTTTAGCCCTGTGCCTCGACCTGGTATTAGCTTCTTCCCTGGGCCACGATCTGACACTAGTCTCTTCTCCAGCCCACAAAGAAGATACGGCAGAGGTCTCATCTGCTGACCAAAATCCAGATTCATTACAGACTTGCTCTCTGGTTCTGGGCGTGGGATAGCACCAAGAACCCCCGTTAGTCTCCTGCCCTAGTACAAACCAGGGTTGGACTAGTGTCTGGACCTGAATGCCAGAAAAGGATTCAGCATCCACATCGACCAGTTCTGCATCCATAGACAAGTCTTTCGATTTACTAACTGACCCGGAATCAGTACTGACCAGTGGCCAGGTGACAGCATTAGACTGGAATGCTCCATCTGACTGAGATAATGCCTCAGCCCCAAACTCAGTCTGTGACCATGCCAGAGAATCATCTTTAGGCCTTGCCCCAGGGATTGCCTTGGCCTCAGTCTTAGGACGTGCACCACCTACTACCCTCCCATCATTTTTGGGCCTTGCCCCAGCCATGACTGGGGACTCAGTTTTGGGCCTTGCTCCAGCTATTTCTGAGGCCTCTGATTTGAGTCTTGCCCCAGGCATTGCTAGTGACTCAGTTTTAGGCCTTGCCCCAGGCACAGACTTGGACTCAGTTTTAGGCTTTGCTCCAGGAGTTCCCTGGGTCTGGGGTCTAACCTTGGGTCTGACCACCAAAGGGACTTCATTCTCTCGTTCAGTCCCTCCCATGCCCTCTTCCACAGGTTTTCTTTCAGGCTTGGCCTGGGCACCATGCTCAACTTCTGCCCCAGTCATGGTAAAAAGCAACAGAGAAGGCTCAATTAAGTACCTGCACCACAATTTCAGTCTCTACAAGAGTTCTATCACAGGTCTATACCTTGACACTCTGTTTTGATGATGCAGGAGATAAAGTGGAGAAGACGTCTTAAAATCGATACAGCAGTTACTCAGGCTCCTACCCAAGCACAATCTCAGTCAATAATACAGATAAAGTGCAGAAGAGGCACAACCAGGCTGGGGAGTGCTGAGTGGCTCCTGGCTGTAGGCAGACCTGTTGAACGTGGTGGGCAGCAGAAACTTCAGTACCACCAGAGCAGTCACTGGAGGTGGACCTAGGGAAAGACAACAAAATGGGTACTGAATCTCTCATTCAATTGTGTTGCCTCATGCAGAGACCGGTGCTGAGAGCTAGGCAGAAAAACTAAGCTACGGGGAAGTCTCTCTGTCCCTCTTGCCTGCTACAAAACAGGCATGGGGATGACAATGGAGGGGCACAGAAGCCCCACGATGCGACCCTAATCACCCAGCTGGTCTCCACTACTCCACCCAAAGGTGAACCCACATCCATACAAACCTGCACTGGTGTGATGCAATTTCCACTCCTTTCTTTGTTCAGGTGGTATGAAGCCCTACAGCCGACTGCAGGGGTCCTACAGACAAACATACAGGAGAGAATGGAGTCTGAGTGCTCAGGAGACAGGCATGCACCCTGGCCAACGCAAATCTCTCTCTTCCTCAGTTGAACGGTCTCATTCCTCCCAAGGGTCCTGTCTCCTGCTGCCAGGTCTTCTCCCACTCACAGCCCAACCTACACCTACTCCAACATTCATAAAATATCTAGCAGAAAACAGACAGGGAATGCTGTGGCAATGTGCAAAGCTAGCAAAGGAAACGTTTCTGCGGTCCTACACCCAGTTGGGTCAAAGTCACCTGCCCCTCTTCGTCAGGAGCTGTGCCCTGCATTGCCCCCCTTCTCACCAGCCTCCAGAGATCTGAGCCGGAGCCTGTCTCCTCCTCTTGTTTTGCTGAAGAACCGACCAGCCTTAAAGCAGGCCTATGGGCAAACAGAAGAAAAGGTTGAGAGAAGTCAGGAAACACTGACAACAGCTGAGCCTGGTGCACAGAGCAACACCAAAGACAGGAGTGTCCACATCCTCTACCCCTTTCAAGATTTAGGGACGTGCTGCTTTAATATTCTCCTTTGATTTGGTCCCTGTTGCAGCGTGCCAGAGGTAAGAAGCCTTCTCTTGACTCCATCCCTCTTCCCATTCCTTCCACCTCCAATTCTGATGATTCACCACTAGGGGTACCACCCTCCTTACCCTGTGCAGCATAAAACGGGAATGGCATAGCATCTTCTAGAAAGCCTGTTGCGAAGTCTTAGCTATGACTCCCTCATCGCCCCCTGCACACGCCCATCTTTTCAGGCCCCCAGTCTGGGGCGCACGACGTGTGGGGGCGTAGGGACAACACCTGCACCGTCCTTAGGCAGGGTAAGGTTAGGAGGCAACACTGGAAGCCTC